CTCACAGTGGGCGGGGCTTCACGCAGCAACCCTAAAATGCAAAAATTTTGAAAAAACATCGAAATTCCGCGAAAAGCCAGTGGGCGTGGTCAGCCTAGAGTGCCAAACCCTTTAGAGAATGGGCGGAGTCGGCCATGTGTCAATGCCCGGTGGTTTCCAGTCAAAGTGTTTGTGGGAAACAGCAAAAGCAGAAGTTATGAAACAAGATTTGAGAATCTATGTCCGCGCTGACAAGTGGGCGTGGCCCGCAGTGATGTCTGGCGAGTTGCCCGCCCTAATAAGTGTGGTTAACTTGATGAAAAGTGAGGGTGAATTTGGTTTGAAAAGGGGTGAATTTGGTTTGAAAAAGGACGAATTTGGTTTGAAAAAGGACGAATTTGGTTTGAAAAAGGACGAATTTGGTTTGAAAAAGGGTGAATTCAAAGTGAAAATGGTATATAAGAAGAAGCTCATACTCTATATATATCATATATTATAAAGATAAAGCAGAATTTGTCTGTGTCTGTCGGACCAATAGGAGAATAGGCTCCGCCCACAATGGGCGGGGCCTATATTTAGCTGAGCGGTGTCACGGACGTAATCTTTGAAAACGTCAACAAAACTCTTAAACGCCGTCAACTTTGGGATGGGGGTGAGGGCATGTTGAAAATATACCGAATACACACAAACTAAGCCTCGCACACAATAGACGGGGCGTGCACCGAAGTGAGTAGTGCCAACGACAAAAATTCGTAAAATTCCTCCGGAAGATCACAGGGACCGGGGACAAAATCATTCTCTATGCACCACGTTAGACTACACCCACAATGGGCTTGGGGGCATACCCGGATCGAGCGGAGCGAATTGAGCGGAGCGTTTGTTCGGACGACTCCGAACTCAAATCTTCAAAATTCAGACCCGGGCAGCGGGAAAACGGACTCGAGTAAAAAGTGGGCAGGTAGATAAACAGAAGGAGGCACACCCGAACTGGGCGTTGGGAAGAGCACGGCAGTCGGCGGGCGTTTGTCTGGTAGGTGGGGACCAAGTAAAAATTTCTAAATTCGAACCCGGAACTACCCGAGCAGCGGGAAAACGTGGAGTAAGAAGTGGGTCGAGCGATTTGACTGGCCCCACCCCTGAGTTGAAAATGGGGAACGGAAGTGGGGGAACCCGTTTCGCACGCACAAGCGCGCACAAGCAGGAATGCCCGGCGAAGCCGGGCGATCCGC